TTTCCCCCCTTCAGATGTAAGGGGTAAGGAGGCTGAAATATGTCAGGCAAAATTAACTTATATCCTGGATTAGACTTTTATTTTTCTTCAGAATCAGATATATGAACATAATATTTTTCTATTTGTGGGCTCTGCGAACAAGCAATTTGAAAATTATTCAAAGACCTTCTCTATTCTAAAATCCAACCACAGGTAAATTTAAAAGCCCTTGACCACAACTCCTTCTGTTTTAATTTATAGAGGAATAGATCATTTCAGTTGAAAAGCAGCTAACTTCAGAAAACACAGTGTTCAAATTTAAAGCTTGTTGAAGAAGCTCCCAAGAACACCGATGAGTCACAAAGCTGGAGCCTTAACCTTTGACTTAACCATTAACCTCATGATTCATGTGGTCGCACTTGTGATTGTCACCAGATAGGTCCTGTTTCATTTCAACTGAAGCATGGCAGCRAAAATGAAAGAAGAATTTCTAGAAAGCAACTAAGACATTCCCTAGAAGGGCCCCCGCCTCCCCAAAATACTACTCTTTGCCTTTTCAGGAATTCTGATAATTTTATTTTAAAAAAGTTAAAGTAATTCTATTCCATTTCCAAAAGATTTATCAGAAAAGGACTTGTTAAAAAAGTTAGTTTACAGATCAAACATTATACCTTCAATCTTTTTAAATAATCATCCTACAAGGGGGTCGGGAGCAGTTACATGTCCCTATTTAGTTTAGATTTTTGAAACCATATTAAAACCCACGGGTGGCATGTGCAATTGGGTTATATAACTTCCTGCCTGGCTCTCAGGTTAAAACCAGCTAAAATCTTTCAATCATTAAGAAAAAAAAAAAAGATTAAGGCAATTAAAAAGATATATTCCTTCTACTGCAAGATTTACTGGCATCTTGTAGTCCATACATTAATTTTCTTTAAAGGCTAAACACCAACAGCACCATACGCAGAGCTTTCATGGTAGGTTTGCTTTCTTTCTTTTCTTTTTTTTCTCTCCTTCTTTTCATTTCCCCCTAGTTAGCTCCATGTCCGTTGTCCTTATCAGCAAGGCGGCTCAAAGCGCATCTTTCTGGCGGCCTGTGCTCCGGGCAGGCCCGTGTCTCACAGACTGGTCATGGTGGCACGGACATAGGCCGGGGCTCCGCTAGGAAGGCCCGCGTTCCTCGCGTTGCGCTCATGGACAAAAGCGGAGCAGGGTCCGTGCGCGGAGTGCGTCCTCGGCGGCGCYGCCGCGCTTCCACCACGCTGACGGCCGTCGGCAGCATCAAAGGGCCTGGATTATTGGGGAGCGGGAGGGGGCACAATTAGTGATTAGGCCTGGATGGGAGCGGGGGTGGAAAAGGCAGAAGGGGAGAAGGGTGATGTGGAGAGACAAGGAAGGATGAGGTTGCTGGAAGAGGAACACTGAAGGGGGAGGCATGCGAGTGAACGTCAAGGCAGTGTCAAGTGAGCCCCTTTGCTGCTGGCTAACACGTGTGTGTTTGCAAAAGGAGGAGTCAAACTGCCTGCATGCAGTGTCTATACTCACACAAAGGCAATTTGCTTCACCTCAAAGCACTTGATGAATCTGAGCAAGGACGATGCTCATSTTATAGATGGGGAAGATGAGTAACATGGTTGGGTTAGGGAGAGTAACCTCTCCATTGTACAGTGCATTTTATATTCAGGAAGCTTTAAAGGTTTAAGCAGCCAATCTAAACATACAATCGAAACAAGCTGCTATAAGCAACATCAAGTTTCAGGACCACTGGAAAATGCAGATTATAACGCGAGTAGAAGGAGGCAGAAGCCCAGAGGAAGGAGCATTCCTGTGAAGGAGCAAACAGGACAGTACACAGGCCATTCCCCTCATCTTCCTTCACTAATGAACTAGGTCCTATTGAAAATTATGATCTTTGTCATCTCCATTATGCATTAAAATATATATACATAAATACATATTTTTTTTTTAGAGATATGTTTGGAGATATATTTGGAGACCCAAGTCAAGATCCCTACTTTCTTCTAAAACTTTTAGTTTGAAGAGTTAAAATGACCTGAAATAGACCAAGTGCTGGTAGCTGTTGTCTGTTGTGTGAGAATACTTCACTGTAATGTTTTGAGAGAGGTTAATGTCAGTTGCAGTTGGGTATCAAAAAGAAAAAGTGCATGGAAAAAAAGTGATCCCTCACAGCAATCAAGCAAAGAAATTTGAAAAAAAAACCCCAAAACTTTAGTTTAATGTAAAAATCTCTAACTAATGACCCAAATCTAAGCAACAAGGTGGAACTCTCTTRCTCTTTTAGACAGAGTCCAGCATAGCCCTGAAGTTCAAATTTCATCTTCTCAGGTTCCCACAAGACCAGTTTAACATTTCGTGCCCCACCAGAACAGCCAGGCAGCCAGTGTGTTAGTTGGAAGATCACATGCATGAAGGCAGGGAAGCAGAACAGCATGCAGGATCCAGAGCCATGGTAATGATTGATGTTCAAGGATAGCCCTCCTTAGCAGAGAGAGAGGATTGCTATAAAGCTCACCCATGGGTAAATTCAGATTCCATTTTTCCCTTGGGGGACAAATTTTAAGGAAATGACCCATGAAATCTGAAGCAAGCAAAAACACCCCTTATATATCCCAGGATAAGGAAATACAATGACTAATCTTTTGTTTTAGCTTTTCAGAAAAAGGCCAMAGTTAGAAAGATATCAATTATGTTTTATGTTTTCTGGCCTTGCAGTTAATATTCCAGACCATCTGGAYAGGCAAGAATGACATATGCACTTTCTTTGTTCTGACATCTTTATAGGAACRGAGGAAAGAGAAAACAATAACTAAAATCCTTCCTATCTGGCAAAGTACTTCCTACGATCTGGCACRATTGCTGTTGGCAGCAGCAGCATTAACATTTTAAATTAAAGGAAACATTGACATGAGGAAGGGCTCTAGCYGCAGTGCAGCCAATAAAGGCACCTGCCAAGAAAAACAGAGACACTCACGAGGTCAGAACCTTCCTTCTAAACCCCTTCAAATCCAGTCATCAACAAAATCCCCAACCTGCAAGATTTTGTTGCTCTTATAAAACCTTGGCAAGCTCTCTCTCTAAAAGAAGACTGTTTTTCTGCGAGGAAGCACAAGTAATTCATGCAGAAACAGGCCAATTAAAGACGGGCAGGTTAGAAAAGCCCTTGTTGGCAGCACCAAGACACGCAGGCTGCAGCCCCCGCGACAAACACGGATGTTTGGGCAGTGGCATTAACCGAACCCCACTTGCCAGCTGCAGAACCAGAAAGCAGCAGTTCCAGAAAGCAGCACAACTGCTGACTCAGCTCCAAACCGTTGCCTTCTTCCCACAGCTGGATTTGCCCTGGTCACCACAGGCAGCACAGTTTCCAGCACACATATTAAAACCACTTTGCCAGAAGACAACTGCCTTCAGCAATAAGGATATGCCTCTAAGAAACACAGATGATCAGTACAAGTACTGCTTGCTTGACCAGAAAGCATTAATTGCCAGAGAGGAGGCTTTCTTTTTCCACTTACTTTTTTGAGTTACCTACAGGTATATTTTATTTTTCCACTCATTCTTCTATGGGAAGGCTACGTCCTGCAGCAGCTGGCACATAAGCTCAGCCTGCCTGTTACGGGAGACTGGCTGAGGCTCTTAATCCTGAACCAGACGCACCAAGATCAAAACTGAAACAGCCTGGCTAGAAAGTCCTCTCTGTTTCTGAACAAAAGCAGCAGGACTTCAGTGCACAACAGAAGCCTTGCAAATATAAGCATGAATCAGACACCCAAGAAGAGCTGTTTGGAGCAGGAGTCATACATTTCCACCCGAGGAAATACCCGTTTCTAGCACACGTCTTGCGGTTAAGCTCAAGAAAATCAAAATGAACCCATTTTGAAAATGCTGAAGAATGAGGAAACCGCCACCTTTGAGCCACCACCGTGGAAGGAATCGAGCATCAACAGGATCCGATCACAGACAAGCACAGATTTCAGCTACTAAACAAATCAAGGGCTAAAGAAAGAAAAACAGCATTGATCATTTGTTTTGATTGAGATTGCAACATAACGCAACAGATAAAGCTGAATTATCCACCCTCTTATAAACCATATTAAAAGTCTTTAATCAATGAGATTTTTCAATGTACTGTTAGAAATAGTTATTATTCATATTTAAGAGATATTGCAGCAAAACAGCTTGATATTCCAGACAAAAGGAGAAAAACATTTTTTTGTCCCTTGAAGGCTGAAACTGCTTACGATAAGAGCTTTAGTATCACTCCACTCCAGCACTGCTGCTCTTCAGACTCTTATAGAAATCAAAATTACCCCTCAAGGATTAGCCATATGCACAAAAACCTGGAAAGAGTCAGAAGTGTGCAGAAATACTAGGTTGAAATGTCAATTTTGGTTTGAAATACCTTTGCCATAAAAAGCTACTTGAAAATTGATATCTGATATGTATATTTATCTCCAAACCAATCACCCTAATTTTCAGACGCATCCAATTCCATAAATGAACATCCTATTTATATAAACTCAAAGCTCTTATCTTCAGCTTGTATCATCCTCGTCAAGTTCCATCCTCAACCAGATTAAGAAGAAATTAGTTTACCCATTTCAGAAGTTTTCAAGGAGATTCAGAAAAACATGAATTTCTGAGCTTCTGCATTTTGTTAAGGATTGAGAGAAGTCTTTAAGCCCCCGTAATACCCAGCAAATGGTCACAAGAAATACTGTGGCAAAACGGACAGCCTCAGCTCCTTCCAAGACTTAGACATGCTGTTACTGGTTTAATCATTGGCAGTCCCTGGAAATACCTTTTTCTTCTGTCTGGCAGGGACAAAGCATGTTGTTTTCACCTCCTTGGACTATATTCACATCATTCATGCACTAACCTGGCTGTCAATTTATGTTAAAGATGCAAGGTAAGCTATTTATTTAAGTGTAGATAAAGAAACACTCACTTGGACTATGCATAAGCAAGCAACATTTATTTAACAACAAAGCAGAACGTACCACTTCTTGTCTTGCTGGCTGGCTCCAGGGCTCCTTGGGAGGTTTTCTATTTCCACTAAGACAGGGGCAGAAGGAACTGCTGTTAGGACAGGTAAGTTTGGCTTTGCAGTCCAACTCTTTGGAGACAGAACATAAACAATCGGTTATTACACACACTCTAATGAAAAAGAAATATGTGTTATACACAACATCACTTTTCCTAAGCACAAAGCTAAAACAAGGCTGCTTTCTTCCATTACTTCACAGTCCAGGATGTCTAGGCTCAATCTTCCCCAGTACAGCACATAGTAGCAAGTCCCAAAATGAATCCACAGCTGCTCAAAGATTATGGTAAAAAGCCGCAGCCTGTTGTGTCCCTTTTTGAATCATGCAGTAATTATTTCCCGCAAAAGATAACTTTATAACAGTGATTGCAATTTCTGGGTTAAAATTCTAGCCTTCAGGTAGCCATTTGAAACAACCGCTCTTGYAAAAAGCGGCTCATTTTGCATAGAAGACGAGAGAACCTGCAGAGCAGCAACCTGTACCTCCACGCTTCCAGACTGCTGCTGTTAAAATAAATTTGATTGTCCTCTTTGCCAATCTGTGACCTGTTCTGTTGCAGTTTACATCTGAAATACTCCAGAGAGCCAAGGTTTGTCCAAACTGCAAGTACAATTATTTTGCTACTCATGAAGAAAGTGTGTTAGGTTACCCTAAGTAACCAGGGATATAAGGAATTCTGTGCACAAGTACCAAGAGGACACACATCAATTCTGTTCTCAAACTGAAAAAAACTCTTATGTTTGGCTAACAATATATTCAAGTTGCAGATACATTCCTCTGTTTTAGAACACTAGAAAAATACTGCAACAAGAAAACAGCATAGCTGCTTATGGGTTATGCTCTCTCTACTTTTAAAGTAGCTTGGCATATAGAACTAACGTGCTTCGGAGACCAACAACTCTCAAAGATACATAATGAACAGCATAGTTTACGGTAGTATTGGGGCATGAAGTATTTTCTTTATTTCTTTATTTTTACGTCTAAAAACTATGAAATAATCAAATGTGCTGAAACTGCCTTTAAAATGAATGAGCAAGTTGGGCCTTACTTGTTGCGATCCATTATTTTGGTTAGTAACAGCATTGTTTGGAATACTGCAAGATAAAAAGACAAAAAGAATTTGTATCAAAATGTTTTAAAGAACAATTATTTTTGCAAACTGACAGAACTGCATTTTCCTAAAAAAATACAAAGTCCAGCAAAGATTCTTCCAAAGCACTTTTCCATTCCCCCTTCAAAAAAGCCACAAAAATTGTACTTTAGGGTCATCTGTCTCATTATAGGTAACTGAGGCTACCAAACTAAGTTTGTGATTTATCATGGTGAAACCTAGCTATAAGCTCTGACTTGCTCTCTTCCCCTCCTAAACCAGCTACATTTAAAAACTCTTCCTGATTCAACTGGGTAGAGCACTTTAAAAGCAAAAACACCATGATTTTAGTTGCATGCCAAACATCCAGCACAACGCGACGTTTTCAAAACCTCATTTATGTGGTGCAGATATGTTTGCTCTTATGATCTGTAGTTTCACAAAGTACCCGAAAAATTCATGAGCTTCTTCTGCATATACAGTCTAATGGAGTGGATTTCCTTCGGTCTTAAAAGCAGTCATTCAAAAATTATGAGCCAGCTCCACAGAGCATAAAAAAAAGAAAGATTTTTAAGCACATCCTTATGCCTGCTGATTTTGCATTCTGTCTGAGACACATTTCGCATTTTCAGGTTGACAGACTTAAAAGTATTAATGTCTTGCACAATAGCGTGCATTATAAATCTTACATGAAACTAAATATTCAAGAGAAGATTCTAAACTCACTTCTATGTCTTTTTTAAAAGCTTCCAAACTCATATGGCTAATCATCCTTTTAATTTATGGCCTGGATAATTGCAACCTGATTTGGCAAACTGACAATTCAAACAAAGTTCAAAATTTTGTATCTACCTCAATGGTTCTTTAGAATCAATTTACTCCAATACCATAATATTAAGACTAAAACAAATCTGTTCCTATTATTTTTCCCAACTTTGTGCCTTCTATGCTGACAGAACGTGGAGGCTGCAGATTATCACACCTTGAACAAATATTAAGGAATGCCTTCTGGGTTGAACACTCCTCAGGGCTGAGTTAATACTCAGCAYGGAGTTAATACTCGAGGGATCAACATACATCTTTCATGATGCATTTCAATTAGCAGGGCTGGAGTGTAGAGTTGCAGAAAGGGGCCCGACTGCTCTGCAGGTGAGCACGGYACTGCCACACCTCGATACACTTCACAAGAGGCCGTCTTATCAGCGGGAGAAACCGCACATGGAGTTTCTCTTGCCACTCCCAGAGTGACCTAAGCAGCATGAGACTGGGAGAAGAGCATGACAACACAGCAGGAAGAGAGCGCTAATTAATCAGACACATAATCACAATCTGCATGCAGAGGAGCTTCAAGTATGTTGGTGAAACCCAGTGTGGAAGAGAACATTTCCATTTTATAAGAGCAGTAGAGACTTGCCCAGAAGGACACCAAGATGAAGAAATCTCATCCCCCTGTCATGCAAGAATCAGCCCTGCTGCTACTSAAGATGAAACCAGCCAGTTGTTTTGAAGCATTATTTGGACACYCCTCACTCAGCCACAACTTTCATGATGTTTAACATGCATGAAGATCTACTTTTCTTTCAAAATTGGTTTCCATTGATCATTGCAACGCTCTTGAGTCAAGGCAAAGAATAGAAAGCAGAACTGAGTGACTGTTTGATCCTTTGCTACCCTGTTATGCCATCTAGCCTGTTTTTCTGTTTCTATGGAATAGGATAAAACCCTCAGTGATTCTGTATCACAGGATTGTTTTAAAATGCAAAGGTAAGTACAAAGACTCTAGGTATATAAATGCAACCAAAAAGCCAAAAAGAAACCAAAAAGCCTCCCTCTCAATGTTGGTAACAAATAATTTGGTACAAGTTTATAAAAATAAGTAAACATACACAAATAAATGCAAGTGCAGTATCAAAAAAGGCAGTAAAATATTTCAAATATTTATTTTATAGTATATTACTCATCTTTGCTTGATTACATATTTCCATCACACAACCAGAGTAGGCAGAACTYGGCATGAAGAAATCCTCTCATGCTTTTACCTGACCTCAGTGCTTGGGCAGCACCTGGCACTTGCTGCTGCAGGAGCTCAGCATGAGCCAGAACAGGAGCCAGCCCCAAACCACTGCTCCAGCATTCAGCAACATTAAGTATGTCTGGCAGTACTGTCCATGCAACAGAAACACAGCAGCTTTGCTCTGAATGGCAAGAGCTCTCTAAAGTAAACAAGCACACACAAACAACACACCAAGACCACAGTAAAGAGGTGAATGTTGTTCTACATTTAGTTAGTCTTATAACCCTCTGGATGCACGCTCAAGTACAGACGAAAATCATCAAGAAAGGAAGTTAAATATTAGAATGCATCTTACCTTGTTTCTTCAAGTTTAGTAACATGTGCTGCAAAAATATGCAGGGAAGTATTAATTAAAATTTAATCTTAATAATGTTATCAGTTAAACATAAAATACAAAATATATTATTAATAAAAGTGGGTGAGCACTGTTTAAAAGCAGACAAGTGACAGAACAAAAGTTAGAAACGGCCTTCCCATGTATGGCATGAAAAAAAATCTATATTGAAAGAATAAAATATTTTTAGGAGGAAACCAGCAGTGGGGTTTAAGAAAGCCTCTAAAAGCATCATATGGAGGTCACTCTCGACCTAGGCATGTGTGGAAATAAGGCAATCAGATGCTGCCAGGGTGTGACAATGGGTAGAACCTAATACCTAAGAACAGTGGGAGAATGAAAACAACAGGAATTTCAAACCCAAGTCAAAYATTTCAAACGTTATCATTATCGTTCTTGGACTCAAGATTCCTACCATTATCCACATGTATATTTCACAATATTTATGGYTGTTCTATCTGTTAGGTAAACTACAATGACATGCCGTGGACATGAGTTTTTTTTTTTCCTGTAAACGCATTACCTCCTACTACAAAGAAAACTTATTCTCAAAATTCAAGAGAACAAATTTCTTCAGGATCTGTAAAGAACATGATTATTTCATTCTCTCTGTGGATTGCGCTTAGCACAATGGAAAGCCAGGAGTTTACCTTTCATTTGCAGTGTTCGTCTYGAGTATCTCTTGCTGGGCCTCCTTTCAAAGGATGCAGATCTTCTGGCCTTGTTGGTCTTGGTGGTTTGATATTCTGTTTTCCCACTAACAAACCAAGCAAAAGTACCAAAGAGTAGAATCAATCATTTTTTTAATCACAAAATACAGATACTGCCTGCCAAAAAGTCATGTTTCTAGCTGTTTTGAATTCATGTTTTAATGATCTGATCTCAGTTCTATTGAAAAASCTTAAGCTTCAGAAGGCCTTTCATGTAAAAGAGAAATCTGAACAAAACCCTTTAACCTTCAGCCCATTTTTCCCAAAGGAAAAAGCTGACACAAGAACTCCTTAAACATCAAATTACTTAAAAAGTACATGTGGTCACCAAGCCTGCAGTTTGGGAGAGGCTGGTAATTCCAGAGCAAAGTTGAAGCTTGAGGTATCTTGTCAAAGGTCATAGAGAAAAGCTAAAATTTAGAATGGGACTAAACATCAGCATCAAGAGTTTCTCATTTGCAGGAAATACTTTTTCCTCTCCTCCATGATTTCTTTTTTGGTCAGGAAATACTTTCTCAAGATTTTGTAAGAAAAGGCTTTTTAGGGTTTTTTTCGTGTGTGTATAGTAGTTGTAACCACACAGGTGTAACCACACTGGTCAAGTCCTTTCCTGTTTCCACTCAGGAAACGACAGAGGAGACACCCTAAATGACCGAGGACACGGACCTGTATCGGAACCGGGATCCCAACCGAATGAAGCCAGATCGACTCGAGCCTTTCTGGACGGGCCCTCGGAGCCGGAAGAAGGCGTGATGTTCCACTGCACATTTCCACAAGTGTTTGCAGGCTTTGGGATGRTCCAGCCTAAAAACAAAAGTGTGCTCCTGCTCCTTTCCCTTAAAGCACACAAAACACACTGCAGATTTATAAGGGGCATGAATAAATCCAAGTTACAATTAAATGCAAGCTAAATAAACTGAAGTTTTACTATCCATAAAACCAATTTAAAAAAAAAATATTTTAGCCAGAAAAAAAAAAAAGATCAACCTCTTCAGAAGCTTTAATGAACTGCTCCAATGTTTGCAGAGAGYTACAAGTCATATCCCTAAGAAGCCAAGCCTGAATAACTACATATTAAACCCATTATTATGATAGTAAGGTACTTCTCACTGAGGCTAGCCTCTTAGTCTCACTTTCCAAATCAGATCAATTCACTTAAATTATCAGTAATCATATTTTTATAATCTCAGCTGATAACAATTTCTATCTTGGGGAACAATTCTGGCATCTRTCTTGGAAATTCATTCCACTGCTTGGGTCTTATGCTACCTAGCCTTCCACTCCCACACACACAACACATCAAACTAAATATGGGCTTTCAAAATTGTGTAACCCAGACTGATTTAACCCAGTACTCCCTTTTTAAAATAAAAGCCGAGAAAAAAAAATAATCAAATCAATTTATCTCACAAATAAGCCTCTTCACTACCCCCCAAAAGGCACAATTAAAAATCTTTCAAGGCAGCCCTGTTAATTCTCAAAACATAAGAAGAAGATTAGGAGTGAGAAAAAAAAAAAAAAACACCCACACACTATGTCATACAGTCAAGAGTGAGATGTGACTAAACAGACAGTTTCCTACCTGCTCGTCATCTTCAACAACCACCAGCGTGAGTTTGTTCTTCTTGAAGTCGAGCCTTGTTATCTTTGGCCTGCAAGACGAAGAGAACAAGCAGGACACTTCCAACTCCTAGTAGGCCACCTGAGAAGCATGTTAGACACGCTGGGCCAAGAGGCCCTACTAATTAATTTTGGAGGGTTTTTTTTGTTTGTTTTCTTTCCTAAGYTCATGCAACAAGGGCCTGACTAGACTGAGGATATCCATGTTTTACCTCAGCCTCTAAGACTTCTTCATTAGAAATTTAGAACACTTGCAAGAAGTCGGCAACTTCAAAACAGATGATCCTATAAAAACTTAGGCAGCACATCCTTGAGCATAAACTGTAAATTTCCCAAAAATATCCACGCTTGCCTGCTCTTCCATATACACAGAAAAACTGGTGCTGAGCTCAAAAAGACATAAAGGCAGATTGAAGTAAGTTCTATTTTATTAAAGAAAGGTAAATTTTCTAAGTTAATCACAGATTAATTTCTCTGATGGCAGTTGTAAAAAAAACCCATATCCCAGAAAAACATAGTGTTTCCAAAGCAAACAATATAATTAAATAAAAATAAATAAGTAAATAAAACATAGTTGATGATGGGGGGATTCCTGTATTTTGGAATTCACAAGGCACATATATCTTTTTGCTACTGAGGGTTTTTCTGAAAAGTTTATAAAATACAAATTAAGTCTTTGTATGACGAGATTTCCCATCTGCTGACTTACTCTTTGAATAGAGTTTATAAAATTGGATAGGAATTACATGGCACTTAACAATACACGGGATTACAAAAATATTGCATTACTCTTGTTGCCTTTGCCTCTCTTCAAAAAGCAAGACGCACCACCTCCTCTGAATGCATGAAAAAGCATCATTTTACTGGTTGGGTGCACACTTGATTTACAAAGCACCTACTAGAAAATTCAAGAGAAAGCTGGAAACAAAAACACCTCAACGCTCTTCGGTCTTTTCTTCTTACCACTAGCAAGTTACACACATATAAAATCTATTAGCATTATCAATCAAGAATATTAATAAAAGAAAGATTATATTTTCAACACTATGAAAACACTCAGAGCCTATAGAATATTTTTTTCAAGTAACCAGTATTAACAGCAGTCCCATATTCTAAAAATCGTTATTTTTGACTCATGGAAAAGAAACAAAAGAAAAAGTCTGTTTTAATCGGAAAGCTTACCAGAAAAATAAACCAATCTTTGTGTCTCCTTCAAAGACAAGAACTCCGGTAGGGGTTAATCCAAGGCTGTAGTCATTGCCATCCCTTGCCTAATTGTCACAAAACAAATATTATGTTTGCTTCCATGCTTGACCCCCCCCCCCATACAAATTATTCCAGTGATTAATACAGTGTATTCATCCAGTGTTACAATTAAAGATGTGTCGGCTTATTTAGTGCAGCAAAAGTTTCATAAACAATTCTGCATTCGATGATCTTGGGCAATGGATGTTTCTAGCCTGCAGTGCTTTAGCAAGACTAAATGTAGTGCCAAATTAAAGAAAGTTTCTTGATTTGTCTGTGCAATAAGGACCTCCGCTGCACTCCTTTCCTCCCAGAACTTGTTTTCCCTGTAGTTTTTTAGCTGTTAACTGACTGGAGTCCACACAATTTCAATTACTAGGATTTTCACATAGCTTTCAGTCCAAATACAACAGTTCATATTGTCACACCAGCCACGTATTTAATACAGAGCAGATGTTTGGACTCAAGCTCTATTTCTAAAACATCTGCTGCCAGGTAGAATGTTGGGACAAAGCCAGATCACTTGTTACACAGTTTAGGACTGCAGTCTTCCTATTTCTTTTTTCTCCAGAGATTAAAAATAATGTTGGAATGCTGGACAAAGCTAACATTCTCATTTCCAAAGGTCACCACACTGTGATTAAACATACCTTGACTATGTGCATGTCTACACCATACATTTCCAGCCATTTAGCTTTGTTTAAGTAGTTAGTTTCAGCCTGCGCTGGTGTYTGCCCCCTGAAATAAATTTTTGGCAGTTAAGTAGATGCCTGAAAAAGCAGAGAAAGGAAAAGCTGGCACATGAAGAGAGAAGGAGAAGAAATGCCTCAGCATTGGTGAAACACTTCAATATTGCTGACTTGCTTTTGCTTTCAGGAACTTTAAGGTCACTTTTGTAAAACATTATCTGAAAACCACTGCTTCAAAAATTACTACATTTCAAGCTATGTAACCTCATAACTTTACTAGGATCTTTGGAAATTAGAGTTTTTACATTATATTCTCTTAGAAAACATGACAGAACCACACAAGAATTATATATTTGAACATGATCATGGAAGAAGATTCAGCAGTATGTTTAAAAAACATTATTTTTACAGAAAAAAAACTGTGCAAAGGCATGGCTAGGTGTATCACAAGATCTAGTACCTGCATTCCTTCCACTTCTCAAAAATGGCTAGCTCCATCTCTTCAGTCTGAGTGGGCACGAACCTGAACTCGGACACCAGTTCAGGGACATGTTCAGCAGGATCATAGTCTCCTAGTTCAGCTATAAAGAAAGAGTGATGTCAAGCAATGTTGCCAATAAAGACAGCAGATATTAACAAGAACTTTAGTGTGCTTTGCTCTGATTTAAAATGTTAAATTTACTTTACTGTTCCCCAATATTTGCAGTTTCACCATTTTTTGGCAGAGAAATTGCAGACACTGGAAGAATGATCCTAAAGTTTAAACCAAATCTTTTCATTTATTTTTGCAGAGTGCTGCTGATATATTGGTGAAAAAAGTCTTTAATTAAAAGCACACTAAACCTGAAAAAAGCAAAACAGTTTTGACATTCTTCATGAAAGTATTTGTCCATTCTACAAATCAATTTCCATTCAACAGCTAGAAATTTTTTTGTCCTACTAAAACTACTGTGTGTYGGGGGATAATCGTGCAGATGTTACTTTTCTCTTTTGTTTTCATCTAAGGACATAATAAATGTCCCAGTGGGTCAGACAAATGGCTCCTGTGGTCTAATGCTGAGTGTTAAAGGGAGGCACAAGGGGATGGTATTTAGAGCAGACGGGAATGTGCGAGTCAATGTGAGTGCCGCATCAGAATCATGACGTCCCTCTTCCACAGATGCTAACAAGTCCAGCATGTAAAGACTTAGAGAATGCCTAAAATGCTGGAACCCGCAGTTAGAAACCTATATAAAAATGTCCCGCTTTTCAGAGACACTAAACATTTACTCTGTCCAATGTTTTCCAGTGGCTTTTTGATGTTCAGCTTATGTCTAAGAAATCAGGAATGACTCTTGAACTTGGAACTTGGGGCTGTAACACAGACCAATAATTGTTTGGTTTGAAAAAAAAAAAAAAAAAAAAAAAAAAAAAACCCAGCAACAACAACAACAACAACAAAACCCACCTAAGCTTGTGAAGGGTAAAAAAGAAAGATCTTTAAAAAGATTTGAAAAGTCAAATAAATACACAATGTATTCTGAAGCTACAAAATCAGCATGTTCCCTGGATTTCTGAACATGGCAGGCAGAGTAATAGCCTTTCCAGCAACTCCCTGCTTTTTTTTTTAATCCTTTTTTTTCTTAATGCTGACAGAGGAAGTCTGTAGTTCTATACTAATTTACTCCCACTAAAATGCCTGCCTCTGTTGAAAGGAATGCTGTCAAAGCCAGCTTAGGATCCAGCTGATTTAAATAAAAAGCACACAGCTGTCAGACAGGAAGATTAAAACCCTGGTAAAGGCCTCACTGTAGAAGGAGGAAAGAAAAAAAAAAAATCACAAAGAGCAATGTATTTATGTCCTAATTGGATCATTTTGTTTTTCCAAAAAATGATCCACTGAATGCTTTCATCTTAAGACTTTTAACATTGCTAATATTTCTAACCATAGGATATATTTGGGTTTTGTTTTCTAAACAAAAGACTGGGGGAAAAAAAAAGAGATCAGGTTTCTCTACAACTTCATCCCAACTCTATAACTATAAAAGATCAGGCCATTACTAGTAACAGGAGTTACTTACTCCTAGAAAGCAAATACAGTAGCAAACAGGTTTATAAGAGAAGTATCTTAMAGAGAATCTGTATGGCACATATCCAAAACCCTTTCCATCACACACATGATAACTTTACAGTAGGAGCTTTGGGATTCTTTTGTGTACTGAAGGCCACAAAGCTACAGCAGCCGTAAAGGACCCCAGAGCCTTCCCTAGGAGACACTTCTCTAATGTCAAATCTCTCCTCTTGTTTAGTTTGTGAGTTCCTCTGCTGAAAACCACAACAAATTCAACATTTGTTCAAGTCACCCCTCTCAATCAAGTCTCATCCCCCAATAAAAGAGAAGACACTGGTCATGAAGATCAATGAAGGAACAACCTATACAAGTAACTTATACAAGACTAGAACTGTAGCTCTCAGAAGCCATTGATACTGGAATCAAAAGCCAAAGACTCATTAATAAGAATGATAACTCAAGTGTAATGTTGTACAGCAGAGTAAAAAAGTGCACCTCTTTAGGTTGCAGCAGGACCTGAAACGGCAATAAATAGAGTTCATGCATACTTCCTCAGAGACAAGCACAGCTTAAGTAGGATTTCTAWAATTTGCTGAATTCAAAAATTGGGTGCTTTTTAGATACGTGGCTTTTTACTTGAGTGCTGAAGCAAAGTCCTTTTATTAGTACAAAGATGAGAACAGATGGCAGGAAKTGAGTGAAAACAGAAGGTAAGCCATGCTCGGACCTCTAAGCAAATCAGGAAGCCTACGCATCTTATGGCTCGTGTGAAAATGAAGAAGCTTGCACACAAGCACCTGAGGAAGCAAGTTTTAGCACAAAGCAATGTGTTTAGAATCTTATTGCTCTGTGAAAAATGAAGTAYTTTTCAACATAAACTATCAACAAAACTACAGGTAGGAGGAGTTGTGCTTCGCTGTACATCATTAACATCTGGACAGAAAATCTTTTCTGAATACAAAAATGACAGATTAAAAAAGGTAATGACGCTCTCAATGAGAGTGTTTGTTTGTAAAACTTCAAATTTACAAAACTTTGTATGTCCAACCTCATCCTTTCACACTGCTATCTACTCACCTTGCATGTTATAAGCTGCCAACTGGACGGCTGTGTCAAAAGGACATTCCAATCTGCCATAAGAGAAATGCCTTGTTAAAACCTTAGCTGACAGTGGCTCTTGAGAAGACAAAACTCAAATGCGTAACAGTGAGAAAATACAAATAATTGAGATGAGAAAGTGAAAAAGTAATAGTAGTTCTTCAGCAAATTAAGAGATAAGTATTACATTATTCAAGCAATCCTCTAAAACTGTAACACACTAATTGTCCAAAAAGCTATTTAATGCTATTATGAAYAATACTTACTTTCCACTAAGAATATCCAGTTTTAGCTGCAGAACAAATAAATACCTGTAAATGAGATAGAGAAGTCACTGATCAATAGTTCGAATGTGTCACTCAGCAAACAGAAAGAAGCCAGAGCCTGGCCAAAACCAAAACAAAACCTCTAAACGATTTTTGTCTTTATAAAGGTTTTCAAGAATACAAAACTGCCCAATGATCTTTCAAGGCTTTATCGAGTGGGTTAGTCAACCTTATACAAACTTGAAATGAAGTAAACTCAAAGCATTAAGTTACCACAATTCAAACTGCAGCGCTAAATGGAAGAAATAAACCTAAATAAGACCTGAAGACCTAAATGCTAAAGATCTCTGTCATTCTCCCATCCGATCCGAGTTGGACACACACAGAACAGACTTGTATTTTCTATTGGAGAAAGAGAAAGTTCTTGCATAACTCTTTGGATTTCAATATCAAAGTGGTAAATTATATATATATATATTTTTTTTTTTTTTTTTTTGGGGGGGGGGGGGTAGGTTTTTTTTTCTGTTTTGACAATAAGAGTCCAAAACAAGCTGCAAGTTAAATACCACACTCCGCTCCTCTTATGGGATGTGACTATCCCTCTAAATCCATACATGTTCTGCCTTGAGATGACCTGACTTTCGGAACTGGCTATAAAATATGTAATATAACAAGTTCTGGACGCATCCAAAGGAGGTGGTATCCTGGATTCCAGTAGCAACTCTGCCAATGGGAAGAGACTGCAATGTCAATTAATATACGTAATCAATGTCTGCTTTGAAACTGGTTTAGTGCCCCTTTGACCCAACAAAACATCCTGGAAACGAGCACCTAGATGTTCCTGGTGCTCTAAGCCACCTTTCATGATCCAGTTACAACACTGGTTAGTAGCCTGATATGGACCGGTTAAGGGGACAGTGCCTTCATCTTCCTGGTGGTGAAACCTGTATTTCAGATTCTGAGTCAGGGCTCCATCCCCATGTTGCACAAATACAGTGCTTTACTGGACTTTAACCTGCTCTGTGTCATTCCTTTGTAGTGGCAGTGGCAGCTGAGCTCAGCAAGTGTCACCTGCCCTCGGGATGTGCAAAGTATCAGCCACTGACCACAGGCTGACATGCCGGGCAAGCACTAGTTTTGATAACTGAAGCTATCAAAAGTTTTCAGTTTTGATAACTGAAGTGTCTGCAGTTGTCAAAAAGAATAAATTTATTTTCCTTCCAAACATTTTCTTTATCATCATTAGTGATTACAACCATGCAAAGAAAAATTACCTATGCAGAAGATTAATACTGCTTACAGATAAGTTGTGTTCTCTTTCAAAGAGCACCAAATATGTCTCAGCCCAACAAGAAATGCAGATTTATACACGGATTTGTGCAATGCTTCATCCAAGAGGAACTACTGATCAACTCATATCACCCTACACATGTAGCACTCTCAACTTATGTCTCAACATGGTGGTAGAATATTTTTCCTCTGCATACATTTTGCAAAGATCACAGAGGTTAGGAGACATAACTGAATTCATTTTAGACAAAGAAAAGTCGTAAATTACAAAACTACACTTTACTGAATAAAGAGATAGGCTGACTGCATATAGTTTCAATTAATCACAACATACAAACATACAAGAAGAGGGGGATATGGCTTTTCTCTTCAGTTAAAAACCTCTGTCCACTGCATATGAATGATTCAGATCAGTTACCAGAGTCATCTAATGGAAAACGGTGCCTCAAAATATAATAAATACATAGACCTCTTAATATTAGGTCCCATTTATTTCATGAGAGTTCCATTAGATATATTTACAGTTATCTAATGCAAATAAGCAAGCAGCTCTAATGAACTCATTAAATGTCCCCTAAACATTTCCCTGACCTTGGGTGTGCATCTCCCCAAATCCCTCTCACCGTGTWAGCTCTTCCCGTAGATTGTTGGGCTCCGATGAGTAAAACTTGACACGAAAATGCAGACAGTACGGTGGGCCGACTGCAAAGCAGAACGCAAGACAATGGATGAGATGCATTGTTTGTTGTTTCACAGAACCACATCACAAAAAATGACTGCAATCAGCTGTCATACCACTGGATACTAAGTCAAGAACCCCTCTGTGACAGAGAAATACATGGGAAACATTAGGGTGAAACTACTCTTAAATACAGGCACATGACAGTTTAATATGTTACAAGTCAATCCAAGAGTCATATCACATTAAGTTGATTTGTCTTGCCAAGAACAGATAAACCTAGGTTAATCCCTATATTTAAGGGCTCCATCACCAAGAGAGCTGTGGGTCTTGGCTCTGTGCTCAGTCGAATCCCTAGGTACTCTGCTGGTCTATATAAGGCCTTTCCAGAGTTTGGAAAAACACCTACGGGAGAAAACGAGGCCCATTCCGTCCATGCACTTTGAGACATATTTTAGGGGGAATTAAAACCCTTRCACACCTTACATCTTTTCTGGAAAGCAAAAGGTTAATTGGGCAAATAGATGGATTAATAGCTTTAAAAACACACCATGCTCTGTGTGATGTTTGCATAAAACAGGAGAGATTTTTCTCTCTCATCAGWGCTTCCGAAACTTCTGTTTTATTAATACGGAGCACAAATCCCTAAGGGCTCCCACAAGGGACAGTGAGGACACTGCTACGAGCAGTCAGGCGGGGTCGGGGACGAGCCAAGGAGGCAGCAAGGGAACACCAGACCCTGCAGCCCTCACGTGTGAGGCCTTGGCAGAGCGACCACAAACAGGCRAGGGCACCTGCATGGCAGCAGAGCACGGAGACTGCGACACAAGTGCTCCTTCAGCCATCTGTAAAGTCAAAGCATCTTTAGCTCCACTTAAACTATGATTAACGAGCCTCTAAYGGATTTGATTAAGGACACTAGACTGAAGTTGTACAGAGGGAAGGGATTTTTAAACCACCAGCAGCACCATGCCACTTTTTTGTCACTTAATTATCCCTTTTAGAGCACTGCCTCTTCTCCCCATGAGTTTCAACTCTCTGTGCCTCCTACATGTTAAATATTTAACAGATCTAAACATCCAAGAAAATGGAAAGGGTACTTACTTTTAACTTGCTTTTTAATGCTTTTCGTGTTGTCCAACCAGTGCTGAAAAATAAATCATTTTAATTGAATTATCAATAAAGCAATCTTAGAGGAAAAGGAGGAAAAATAACTACTCATTAGCGAAGACCATCTTGGATTACAAAGCAGTCAATTAAAACAATGTCTAATCCATTTTTTTTCCCAATTCATGGCTTAGTGCTTATCAAAGTACTTCATTCTAAAAATACAGATTAACTTGTACAATAATGGGTCTCAGATAATTACCTTGAAGGAAGGAATAATTATACAAATAACCTGATACTTAGAAGAAGATACTCAAATGCAAAATTTGTAATGCAAAACGTTAGTTTGCTACAACTACAACAGAAACATTCACACAGTCCATTCCTTAAAGCYAATGTTAAAGAAAGGACCATCCACTTGGGAAAAAAAAAAAGAAAAATGCACTGACAAACTACTTTAATTATGGGGAATCTCATGCAGTCCTAATAAACACAACCCAAGCTGGCCTTTTGCAGGCCAGGCAGTGACAGTGAGACAGTCACAAACYGTAGGTCGACCTTCTGCCGCTCAGCCCAGCCCGGCTGCACCCCCACAGGCAGGGTGCAGGGAGCRGGGAGCCGGGAATCTCGCTGCCTTCCAGTCACCTGCTCTAGAGCATCCAGCTGCCACAGCCCAGCGGCCCCTATGTCCGAGCACGRCGTCAGCTCTTCCAGCTCTCAAAAAAACACCCATCAGAGCTGCCGTGCTAGCAACTGTCGCATGGGAGAACTGAATACTCTGAATATTCAGAATATTCATCTACTAATGATAATTACATRGTAAATACTGGACATCAAAGCTATTTCCATGAAGCCAGGAAAATGGCTTTGTTAGTACTACATATAAATGCACGTTAGCAACAGGCTGATGATAGGTTGAGGGAAACTTCCACGTGTGTATGCCGTGCTGCCTAAAATAACTGCCTGTACTTACGCTACAGAAGTGTTTACATGACAAGTTAAAGACGAGCCTGGAACCACCACACAAGTAACGAGTGGCAGAGGGCCACTTCAAAGCACCCTGAACGTGCAGGCAGCTCCCTCCTCCAAAGGASGTGACTCAGTCGGGCAGTAAACAGGGCCCCTTACTCAACCTAATTGCCTTGACCCAGCTCCCGTGTGCAGCGTGTCCCGGGTGGCTCACGACGGCCAGCGACGCCACCCGCCTTGGTTCCCTCCGAATGTCACCTTGCAGCTAACACTGAGTTATGCAATTAGCAACACTCCTTTCGTTAAAATATGCACTGGGAAGTTTGCAGTGGGTCCGAAAGAGGACAGAAAACAACAGGGGTATGAGAAAGAACCAGTATTTTCAGGTTGCAATGCCAAGTGCAAACACGTTCCTGCTGTCAGAGCACCCCTGCCTTCTCCGGGGAATGCACAGAGACAACCTGTTAGACTGCCAGGATATGCAGAGATTGATAAATGAGATGCAGATCAGAATAACTGAACCCTCCACTGTTGCCACACACGCAGTTAAGTTTGTTCTCCTCAACTATGAATGTGTACTAGTTAAAGCTATTTGAAATTCATGTGTTTCATYTTTTATAATGAAGCAGGAAAGAGGCAAATATTTATGGCAACGTTTTCTTACACTAAGTGAGGTGAATTTTAGTAATTTTTTTCTCTTTAAAAACAGAGGTTATTCCACAAACTCACTTGGCCTATTTATGTTCCTCCTTTACCATGAATGCACAGACACTCTCCATGCAGAGGCTGCAGGTGATGCGGCTACAGGAGAGCCCGGCCGGCCACACRCGAGAGCCATTTATTGGCCTCAGGGCCGCCTGACTGCTTCGTCTCCAGGCTCTTTTCTCCCATCTCCTCCACATTCCAGGTGCAGGCGGCCGGAAAGCCGAGCCAGGCACAGCCAGCGCTCCGCTCCGCACYGCTCAGCCCGGCCTCCAGGAGCCCAGTGCAGAGGGTAAGGGGCTGCACACGCGTCCCCAAGGGCGGCTTTGCAACGGAGGGAAGGGAGGAACTAACAGTGCACGTGCGGACACACATGGGCGTCGGGAACCTGGAGAGCTATTCCAAGTGATTAAAATGGAATTTGAGCGGACCTGGCAAAAGAGATCTTTCGAGTTTACATTCTGATGAGAGTTGGTTCAACACACACTGCGCTGCGGAAATTCACAGATAAGGTTTGCTAAACAACGAGCAGGGAAAGCGGCGCATTGCAGAGTGCTGGGGGGCCCTGCTAAATCAGACCGCTTCTGCAGAAAAAAACATTATATGGCAAAAAGGTAGCGTAAAGGCAGCTTTTTTATAACCATGGTGAGGCTAAAACTGCTTAAATACTTTGTGGAATTAGGGGTTTTATACTTAGTGTAAAGCTATACAAATCATTTTAAGTATTAAGCATCAATACAGTAGGTCAGAACAGTAGATCAGTACAGTAGATCAGAATGATTGCTAGAATAACAAAATAATGTATTCTACAGCTCCATTAGGAATATCTAGGAGTTGAGGCCTACAAACTGTATTAGAAATTAATYGATTTGGAAATCTGTCACTATCAAATTTTCAGCACTCCTTATTGGAAACAGCTTATTTCAGCACTGTGAAAGTGGCAATTAAACAGCCTGACAAGTTCCCAATGTTCACGTTGGCTGCCGCCGGGCACGCTGCACTGCTCCTTGGCAGCCGGGTTGGAAGCTGCCTGTGCTGGGCTTCAGCAGGATTTAGATCACGCCTGACACACTGTAGACAATATTACAAAAACCTCCTTTACCACCTCCTGCCTCTTACAAAAACCCATTCTTAACCACCAGACTAAAACCAAACACAGAAGTTGCACGAAAATCACAATTTGTTCACTCTCCAAAATGCTCCAAGATCTTCTTAGAAGAACCCCGTATTTGAATCCTAAACAGCAAAATGTCAGAACGAGTTTGTACTATCTGGGTTTTCTCAATTGCACCTACACCCCAAACCCTCTAACTACCGATCACTTAAGGAACCCAACATCAGAGAAAGTCAGACCCCCCCAATTGAAAAGGTATGCCCAGTTGTTTAGAATGGACTTATATAAAACTGATTGTAGTTAAAGCAAGTGAGATTCTTTCAGTTTTTTTTTTTTTATTTTTTTTATTTTTATTTTTTTTTATTTATTTAACTGTGCATTGCACAGTTGGGGCAAAGGGTTTTTTATTTTTTAAATCTTCAGTGGTTATTAAGACAATATGTTTGGATTTCAAGTGGGTAGCAGAAATAATTATCTCCTGAGCCAGACTTATTCACGTTACAGGACTGGATTCTTCTGCTGTTTATTTAACAGACCTCCTGAATAATCTTTGACAAATAAGTTGCTTAGCGTGTGCYTTTGTTTCCAGCTGCAGATTGGGTTTCTACAAGAATTTCCTAGCTTCACTTTGCCAGAAAGGCTGTCCTTACCACAGTTCTTCATTTCTTAAAGCCATTTTTTCTGCCTGTTCTGTTGAACCACCCTTGCAAAACACAAACCTGATTGCTTTGTTATACGGAGTGCATTGTTAATACCTATTTTAAACAGACTGTCACCTGTAGCTGGCCTCCTTTCAGTCACACACACAAGTAAGAACAGGTGACCAACTAAATTAGAAATTGCTTGTACCTGGTAGGTTATACACTACCACATACTCAAAAGTCTGGATTGCAAGTAACAGCTTGCTGGACAAAAGCAAGCCAAGAACCACAGCTAAGACAGCAAAGATGCACACGTATTTCCCCACTTCAAATGGCCAACATTATTTGACAGCAGGATAGCAACAAGAAAAGGGTCACATCCTCACAGTTGTACCTGTGACATCTTGCAGCCCCTACARGCAGGCAGAAACATTTAGGCATCTCAGTCCTTCCACCCTCCCAACATGGTAAGACAAACTGCGCATCCCAGTTTRCACATGCTTAACACAACAGACTTGCTTTGTATAAACAGACCATGGTATTTGATAGGCCACTGTATTCAACGACCCAGGCAATGCAACAACTTAGTGTTAAATATAAATACAACAAAGGAGATGGAAAGTTTTTTTTTTTTTTAAATGCATTGTTAAGGTCAACTTGAATCTTTTTTTTGAAAGTTTGTTTTTTTTTTAAATGCATTGTTAAGGTCAACTTGAATCTTTTTTTTTTGGTAGCACATTACTAATATTTCTAGAGTAAGTGTTCACCTTCTCTTTCCATCTCTCTCTCCTTCTCTTTCCATCTTTCCATCCACACAAAAGGTTTAAGAACAATTTCACTGCCATGGGCTGCAGCTCACCAGTAGCTACTCCTGCTAATCATGACATTTGCTTCAGATGAACACTGAAATTATTTTCTCCGAAGAAAACATTCTCTGCAATCACCAGCTAAACAGAGAACTTCACCTCAGCAGCAACAGTCCTTGCTTCTACTGTGCAACTCTAACCGCTAAATAATTCTGAAATGGAGTTGAAACAGAGACAATTGGGTCTACAACTAAAGAAGTGTGACATGCACAGTGAAAATACCCAGATGTCTTTCTACTTAAGAGAGTTAGGAAAAGCAAATACAGGTTTAAGCTACAGGAATGCAGGACCAAGACAGAAATTATTCCCCGTTCAATTTTTTCTTTTTTATGTATACATAGACTAAACACAACATTCCACTTCAAAACAAAATAGAAACTAACAGTGCGAAGAAGACATGGATCTTGCATAGTGGGCAGGATTAAGTATTCAACCATAAGGAGCAGCCAAAGAAAGCTGTGCCACTGCATATGAAAACAATAATTCACTGCTTGGTTTTCAAAAGCAGAGACATTTCTACAAACAAAATTACAAGAACTTTCTACTCAAACCATGGTACCTATAAATCCACCTATATCCTCCCAACAGTTTCTAGTTGCAGGTCCAAGTCGCTTCAGATTAGAGCAAATCAGATGCTCCCCTTTCTTGCTCAGATCTTTGCCCAGAAGATGTCAACAAGATGACTGTTGCTAAAGAGAATGTGCACTAGCACTGACAAAGCACAACCTTCTCCACACTGCCACAGCAAGAAAGGCCACGCAAACAGAAGCTCTGACAGGAATAACAAGTGAAAGACGTGAATGCAAGGGACAGCAGGCTGCTGTAATATGTTAGAGCGTGTTTGCAGAGCAGGGTTCATTAAACTAACACGCCACAGAGCTGCTGCACGAAAGAATTCAAGAAGGGCAGTATTCTCGTAACATGTTTGTCAATATTATCTTCCTTTCAGCAATAGTAAAATAAAAGTTACTTACCGCCACCTGTGCAGAATCCATAAACCTTAATCCAAAGTAGTCACTTTCTATGAGGTCCAGATGATACATGATCTGTTCAAACAGGAGCTGGCCTTTGGCTTTTTTCTGAAAATACAAAAAAAAAGATTTACTATTTAGCAGATAGGCTTATTGTAGCAGCTATGTTCTTTTCTGAGCATACTTAATATTATAATTCCAAAAGCAAAGGAAGCTCCCAAAAGAATTTGAAAAATAAAATACAACATGGAGATCATTTTCTCCTGTTATTTGTGAGGGCTGTTGTGTTTGAAACAGCAATGTATGCACCACAAGCAGCAACTGTTTGGTTAAAATGGGTAAATGACATGGGAAATATCCCTTTCCAGAAAATCTGATTAACGACTTGCACAAGACTGAAAATGTTAAAACATTATTTTGTCATTTTACCTACTAGGCTTTTCCTTATCAATTAATGCTCAACAGAATTGGAAATGCAGCTAGCACAACTGATACTGTCTAATATACTGGATTTTTTTCAGAAAATATAGTAAATTGCTTACGAAAGTTTGCTTGACAGCAAGCCAATTCACCAGTTGTCAAGCAGACAGAAAAGTACATTGAATTAGAAGACAGCATTCCATTACTGAGTGCTTTTAATGACTGATGGAAAACAGTCTGACGAAGAACTCTAATAAATAGTACTTAGATAATACATTTACATAACTCACTTGTAAATGCAGAAAAGTGCTGTTTGCTAATACATAATCTATGAAAAAGCAGCTCTAGCCCCAAGTAAACATCTCTACAGTAACGATTTAAAAAATTAAACACATCTTTTTGCAAAACAGGCATGTAAATAATACACTAAGCAGTTTCTCTACAACATATATTTTTCCCCACTATGAACTCCTTTGTAGTAATACACTGAAAGAAAAGCTCACAAATACAGTTAAAAGAAATAAAAATATATGGAAAAATAGTAGGCCTCTATACAAGCCACTGCACTAAAAAATAATTCTTAGCAACAGGAAGAAATCCATACAGGATCCATACCTACTCTGCATGAAATTTAAAGATTTCCCTATTTCCATAACACTATCGGTCTGTAACCTTTTGTCTTGGTATTACACACACACAAAAGTTGAGAAATACACTAACTTCTTTCTAAGCATACGTTACAGCCTGCTATGAACAAAGATGACTTAGCCCAACTCTCAGCATGCTTCTCCATGTGGAAAAAGGGATTTCAAACTGAGCTGAATAGAGAAACACAAGATACATATAACTGACCCAAACTTACACTGTTTATATATAAATTTCTGAGATTAAGCATGAAGTCTTATTCTCTGAATCAATCATCCGATTCAATGATTGAGTTGCACCAAAGCAAAAAAAGCATTGCAGATTTTTGCCACTTTCTGGTACTTGGATCTACAAATAGCATTTACTCTACAACCACAGTCATTGGCTTACTCTTTAGTTAAATTCAGTATGATGTATCACAGTACTAAGCAAAAACTTAGAAAAATCTGTAAAGTGACTCTGCACAGGCAACTTCTGCCAGTTACTTAATCCAAAGTATTGTGGGAAGTAGGGGAAATTTGATTTGATTTTTTTTTTCTTTTTTAGGCAGCAGCAGATCTATCAAATACCATCAAGACTCTCCAAGCAGCTGCCTTAAGGCAAATCACCTACATACAAATCACATAATCCACTGCTTCCACTGAGTCAGTGGCCTCTTTCCTGGAAAGGCAAAACATTCAGCTGGTGATATTTTAAGACATCAATATTTTCTGCGTCTCAAGCAATAAGATAACCTAACAAACAGAAATCAGTTCAGCAATTGGAATGGCAAAGCTGGAAAAAGCATTACATTTTGCACCAAGCTTTACAGCTTCTCCAAAACTAGACGAAGATCTCCACATTAGTCATCAGAACATCTTTGATTCTCCTTGGTCCTCAGCAAGTCATTTCTTTAAAACACAGTTAGCCAGTTATCCCAGCTACATTCCAAGGTTTATAACCCTTGAGCGGACAGGGAACCGCAGGGCACTGAAGCCCTTTAGGTGAGTCTTGCTGCATATACTGCTCACAGCAACAACTTGATGTTCTTCAAAGTCCCCCTTGGCTTCAGTGTGCCTGGAAGCACATGGATTACTACATCTCAGGCATTCCTCTTTTTTGTAGTTCATCAATAGATGCAAAGAGTAAATGGACCAAGAATAAGGAGGGCTGGAGAAAGTCCATGGCAAACAGCCCTGGGTGGGCTGTGGGGAGGTGCAGGGGGCTGCTGGTGCTTCAGAGCTTCCCAGGGAAATGCCCAAGGGTGCCAAGGCAGAATTCGCTCTGCAGCAGCTTGCGTATCACTTAAATCATCAACGGCTGCATTGGGTGCAAGGTGGCAGAAGTTTCACATGCCCTTTGACATGAAGCTCAAATTCATTCTCTGTGGTTTACTGAAGCACTTCCTCCTTTTATTTAACAAACGGCACCTAAAAACACATTGCTTTGTAAACACAGCAGAGCTTCCCTTCTACCTCTTCAAGAAGCCAGTCTAGGCCACCAGTGGTAATACAGGATTTAGTGGCATTTTGATCCTGCTGCTACCATAGGGTTTTTCCCCTCTCTCTCTCCTTGTAGCAGAGCTCAGGTTACTCTTGGAGGACAGATATTTTCACAATGCTTAATGGTTATCAATGAATGACTAACCACTCCACTCACAGTCACAGTTCAGCAGAGCTCTCCACAGTGTCCATGTCGGGTAGCCCCCAACTGCTGCACTTAGGGTTGCTTATTCCAGCTTCAGTTCACTAAAATATACTTGAAGACATAAAGACTCCATGAAGAAATAAGTTTTCATCCCCAAACTTTACAGGTTTACAACATGTATGGATAAGCGTGTTTATTTCCTCACTATTTTTGCCAGGAAAAATTCATTTTGAAAATTTAAAAGCCAGACATGAATGCTCCTAAGCAAATTACTCATTTGACTCACAGAGTGATTTTTAATGTTGTTAGCATTCCTGGCTGATCTTTTGTTTTGATTTTTAACCAGCATCTGTACCACAGATTATATTCTGTATTTAAAACCATGGGTACAAATAATCAGCAAGTGGCCACAGATATTTCATAAGTTTTTAAAAAAGTGTATGTTTGAGTAAGCTAAGCATTGCAAGGCACCTCTGATGCTGCTGCAGGTCCAGTGCAGATCACCTCCCTGCAGACCCACAGCCATCAATGCTCACAAGAGGTGCTGGCGACTGCTTGGACATTCCACATAGATCTGTTGATTTTGTTCAACATAATCACTTTTCATCCTACTTTGTAAGCTTAGCTCCACTACCGTAAATCATTCAGCTAATTTGTTCTATTTTGCAGACCTTGTGTACTCGATTATGTAAACTGCTGTTTTAATAGCATTTCATTATAATGAAGACAAAACCATCTCATTCTCTAATTCCTATATTAAACTTCATACGTAAATCTGTAAGGAACATTCCTATAAGTTGAAAAGCTACTAGGCTTCAAATAGCATTTGTTCTTGTAATTTGTGCCTCTCACTTCAAAGACCTACCACAAGGCAGTTTTTGACTGAAATTCAGTTTGCTTGTGCAGAAGCTGGAATACAATTAACTCTCTATTATCCACCAGAGGATTAGGTGAATTGCAGGTTAAACAGGACTAGCTCTGCACAAAAACCCTCTCCTTGCACAAGGCAACAGTGCTGCTTCTACAAGAACCCCTGCTGCTCTTGTAAAGCTCCACAGAAATCTAGCTACAAATTTTTAAAAGGTCCAAAATGCCCATGCTCTAAACATGCTCCCGTAATTAATTCTCCATCATTTATGTATTCCTTTTTATCTGTACCATCCTTCCCTTTCACAATCTCCACTGCAAATAACACAGAATTGACTACTTCTATTACAAATACTCACTTTTTTAGCCTTCCTGATTTAAAAGTCCCCTGGAAACCTCCAGGATTTAAAAATACAGTTTGCTGTGATATTTTCACACACATTTTTGCCGACAATTTTTTCATAAGCTGCTGAAAAAAATAGATACAAAGAATCCTCAAGGAAAATCCCTGTTTCTGTGTCTTTATAATCCCTATTTGTCTTCCCTCAAGACCCATGAGCATCAATGAGAGTCTCCAGCTGGGCAGTTGCAGTAGGGGGGCACTGGAAGCTGGGATCTGCAGGAGCACCAGGATGGAGTCTCCACCTCTGCAGCCTGTCCACAGACTTTTACGAAGTCTGGAGAGGGTGGGGAGGGCAGGGGAATAGGGAGATTTGGTTCCTCATGGGAACAGGATGAAAAGTAAATGAGGGATGCAGGGAATGGGAAGTATGCAGAACTGAATTCTTACGCTCTCACCCATCTAATTTTGGAGTACACACTGCACTGAAGCATGTAAGATACTAGGAAACAGCACCAGCAACCACACTGTTTTGCTGTCCAAGATTAATTCAATTCAAACTTCATTTTTTTTTTGCAATTCAAACTTCATTTTTTGCTGCATAAGAAAATTCTGACACATACTTGCCTTGCAAAATAATGTTCCTTATATTATCCTTTTTCCCTTTTTTAATTAAACAGAAATTTAGCAATTCCTGATTTAGTCAATAATAACAACTGTATTTCCAGATTGCAGCTTTTTCAGCAGTAAACTCACTAAGACTGCAGCTTAACCAGCACTCGAAGCCAACACAAGCCTGGTGCTGCTTGTAAGTGCTTCTCCACCACATGCAGGGAGGCACATGGGGAACCAGACTGCAGAACTGCTCCAGCTGGGAATCACACGGCAAAACTAGACCTGTTATCTTCAGCCTTATCATTTTCTTGACTTCGTTTACTGCACGGCTGCCAAAAAATGTTTCTTCTGCCAAGAGGTGTGGAGCCAAGAGCGAAGGCAGTGATGAAAGCAACATCTTTTTTTCCTGTTGCAGCACCAGGTTATGTCAGTATGAAGTATTTATGTAGCTACAGAGTGAAAGGGGCAGGGCAGTCATTTCCACCCTCCTACTCATGCCAGGTCCACTCTTTCTCTGGCTGAACTAACCTCAATTCACTAATGATTTAGCTTAAAAAAAATAAATTTGCTATTCTTGTCTTTTTTTAAAAAAATGTGATTTCACACAACCTATACAGCTAACAGCACTATGCCCAGCTGACCTGGCCCACCTGAGACACGGCTGAGTGAGAAGGCACCTCTTGGGAGATAACAGGAGAATATTTGAAACCAAAGATGTTTTTAAGAAAACAATAAAGCAATGTTTTTGCCCCGAGATTTTGTGCCTTTTTTTTAAATTAACACCTCCCAAGTATAATTAGGAATGACATAAGTAGAGACAGACAAGAACAAACACACTGCGCATTCTGAAATGAAACCTGTGCTCTGCTTTTAAGTCATTGTATTTTAATCACCAAGGGACTGGTATGTGTCAGCCTCTAACAATGCATGGCAATTACCGCACCTAACTATGTAGATTCAGTGTATCTGCTTACTGTTACTTTGTATTTGTCAGGCTTTGTATGGGCTCTTTGTAAAGAGAGGGAAAGAAAAAAAAGGTAACAACAACAAAGGCAAGAGAGCAAAACAAGCCTCAGTTTCCTTTGAAAAGAAAAGGGCTGCACCCTGGCCCGAGTTTTCTAGCCCTGATGGCAGCTCGTGACACCTCCTCAGGTTCAGGTTATGCTCCTCAAAGTCTCAGAAATGTTGTTACAGGCACCAGGAATTTGCGTGCGCAGCCAACTCCAGCTCCAAACATTACTGCTCTCGTTGCATGGAGATACCAGTTTAAACCCAAGTACTTTTTAGTTGCTGCTCTTGCTATGAAGCATCTGTGGGCAGTCCTGCTCTCAAACCAAGCACTGGAGGTCCCAGGCTGCAGTGGATATGTATGTTCAAGCTTTACAGATATCTACTAATTAATACTTGTTTGCATAGTTATTTTACGAGTCAAGACACCAAACTGTTTCTTAAGCTCAACATTACAGGTGTTCGAGTTGCTACAAGAGATTTTTCCACCCGCTACATCCACACTGTTCAATGCTCTCACAAAACGGGTTTTCCTCAGACTGCCTAAGGTTATAAACGCCCTTAAATGATGCTTAAAATGAGAGAGGGACAATAAGAAAGGTTCTTCCAAGAAGGGCTGCTCTGCAGGCTCCTCCTAGCAGTGGCTCCAAGGTCAGTGTAATTGTTATTAAAGCTGAAATTCCAAAGGCCTCGCTGACCCACAGCTTAGCTAAGCTGAGCTCAGAGCAACACGGGGATGTGGAGAATGGGGCTGCAGCACCTAGTGCTACTGGTGAAAGGGCCAAATAGGGGTGTAAATAAGGAGAAGGAGAGAGATGTGAGTGCACTACAGGGCTTGTGGAAAGGTAAAACGGTGGCTAATACGTCTCTCCCGAGGGAACACTGCTATGAGGTCATCCGTGCAACACCGTCTGCTTTGGGGAGAAAGGGGCAAAACTCTTCTGCCTCACGCTGGCCTAAGAATCCACCCGCAGCGCGCGGGGACACGGGGCAGCCCGTCCACCCGCGCCCAACGCGGCACGGGCACCAAGGGCCCCTTCCGGCGCCGCAGCGCGGCCCCGACACGCGGCCGCCTCGGCCGCTCCGTGGCCCGCGCCCCCCGGGCCGAGGCGGCGCCCCTACCGGCAGCTCCACGCTGACGTCGGTGCCGTCGAGCAGCGCCACGCGGCACGTGATGACGGCCCTGGCGTCGCCCGCGGCGGGGATGTGCGTGGCGGCTCGCTGCGCCTCCCGCAGGCGCTCGCGCTCCGCCTGCCTGCGCATGGAGCGGCGGCCCAGCGTGCGGCGGAAGAAGCTCAGCATCCTGGCGGCGCGGCGGGAGCGGGAACGGGAACCCTCGCGAAGCGGCAGCTAGCGTCTCAGACCGCAACGCGGGCTCTGCGAGCTGGAGTCGAGCATCTCTCTTCTGGCGTCTTGGGGAAAATGCTTCCCAGTCTCAGGCAACCGCTGGAGCGAAGCGGGGAAAACCTGAAAGTATTTTTTTAAGGAAAAAGCAGTCGGTTACCTCGCGACTACCGAGACGCCCCGCGGTTCGCAGCAGCCCTTCGCTAACTCGAAGCGCTTGTTTACCCCCGCGCGGCCCCGGGGCTCCCCCCGCCCCG